GTATCAATTTGGTTTTGACAAGCGACTAACTTGGAACCCAACTGAACCTCTCGTTAATGATTAACATAAGACTGATGGGAATTCGCGGACGGCGCCTACCCGATGAGCCCCAAGAAGGGATGTCAAAGAGTCTTCAGCAACCTTATAAGTAGTATACTACGTCTATACATGTAACGCGATATCTTGAAAATCTTACCAGCTGAAACATTAGACGGCCTAGTATAGCACATTCGGTTGCTTAGACACGTCATAAACGGGAGATGCAAGTAGGTTCCAGGTGAGTCTCCCGCCAAAGCCAAATTGCTAACCAAATTAGTGTAATTGTCGAGATATGGCCTATTTGAGTTCAAATAGAACATAAGGTTGACGGAGAAACAGGGACTGCGCCTACCTGATGAGCTTCAAGAAGGCGAAACCGATCCTGGTTGGTCTTATTTGTTCGTTCATGGCTACGAAGACTCAGCACTATTCTCACCTTGTTCATTTAATGACTCAGTGTTCATTTAATGTTCATTTAACGGCTAGTAATTCCCATAAATATTCCACGAGAAACATCATTCACCCGTCCCGTGAACACAGCAAGTTAATCTGGATCTTTTCCACATAAGCTCGGCCACTAATGCAAACAGTGCATGTGCGAAAGGTTGAGCCCCGCCACTTGTTGCCAGCTCCAAATTAATGTACGCACACAACCTTGACCTATTTTTGAGAAATACACTTCCTTATCCGTATCTGGGCTCGTTTTGGGCATGAAGTTTCTCTCTTCGGACGTGAAACGTTAAATGAACTTTCTGACGCTTTCAGCTCTCGTTCATGACAAGGAAACGACAATACGTCTTTTGCAAAGCTACGGAGTGATCCACCAGCAACCTTTGTGCAACAATAGCTACCAGATGACACTTTCGACTGTTTCTGATAGGTGGAGTTGTACTGCCCGACAGTGTTGGCAAGAAATCGGCCTTCGAAAGGGAACTTGGCTGGAGCGGTCTAGGATGGAGTTTAGGACAGTAATTCTATTCATTCATTGTTGGTCCAAAAATCTCACAAAAATCAAATTCTGCTCAGAGGAATTATCTATTAGCCACACGACTGCTGTTGACTGGAAGATCTTTCTTCGCGAAGTTTGCATCTGGCGGCTTTTGCAGGCTCCAACAGTTATCGGCAGCTCAGGTCTAATCTTTTTTGGGTAGCGGGGGTCAATTTTTTGGCTTATCTGAAAAAGATATGCTAATTCAAGACGTTTTGCGGTATCATCGAAAACAAATGAGGTCGCGTGACTTTCACTTCTTTCACTTGCTCTTTCCCGATGGTATTTGGGCAAATCATGTGCGTCTCATCTTACGCATCACTAAATCGATATCGTAAACATAGCGAGGGCTCCTGAAATAAGTAGTAGTGGACAGCTACTCAGAACCGAATGAAACCTCACTGAATAGCTTCCTTCGCATATTGTGCTACAACAAACGACACTCCAACGTTTGTCTTTCTATAAACGTTAACCCAGCTTCGTCATGCTCCTCAGAGTTAGCCTGAGATAACTCGGGCTTGAATTTAGTGGCCGGAAGGCCAGCGGTTCACACCTAACTTCCGCATCCCGGCTGCTCCTGCTTGGGCCAGCTAGCGCTATCCCACCTCTCGTGCATCTTTCTTATATCATGACAATTATGAACCGAAAAGGTGTTACAGCTGAACTATTTTTGGCATTCTTGTATCATTAACCATACTCCGTCATAGAATAAAAACTCTACGCTAAAACTGGTTCTCGTGTGGGCAAAGATGGGTTCGAGCCGATTCTGTTGGTATCAGTGTGCGAGAATAGTAAGATGGCGACTATGGTCTATGGAATTCCAGAGAATGGCTGTGGATTTCATTGGTAGAAGATGATCTACTTGTCTTTTGACCGAATGTCTCAGAAGTGTTGCTGGTGTCGGATGATGGTAATTAGAAAATGGGTATTCATTTGTGCGCGGAAACACCTAACTAAATCAACTGCGGTGACTTGGCCATGAGCTACAATGCCAGGGCACATCGTCTACCGAGATGGCTGTCATTCTCTGTCCCTCGTTCAGAATGGCGGGAACCGCGAGATGGGCGAAACGATGTGAAAGTGATTACGAAGAGTTTTGTTGTTGGTGGCGCGGTCCAGCATCCGGGATGGGGTTTCCGTGAAACCAATGCTCTTGGCTGCAGACATTGCAAGAAATGGCGGATAATGTATGGCAGTGCCATCCGTGCCGTCAGTTTCCCTCCAAACGATTGCATTGGGCGTTTGAAGTTGCAGGTACCTCAAAATGCTTGCGATGGGTTGGCACCAGGTTCCTCCCTCACCCGCTGTACCCTCTTCCATTCACTTTGAGGCTTTGAACATAATTAAATAAACTTTGTGTCTGTACAGCCGTGATGGATCATCATCAACACTGGTGTTACCCTTCCTGATGATAACTCAGATGATGATGACGATGATTTCTCCCGCCTACCGCACGTAATGCTCCTTGAGAAATGACAAACCCAAGGACGAGCAGGCGGATGGCAAGTAATCAGAGGGGCGAAACCCCTCGTGGACTGTCGAAGAGTTTTCAGTAACCTTATAAAATCGTCTGTTACATCTAGCATGAGGTCACGTTTAGAATCATACAGAAACTGAAGGGTTCCTGTCCACTTATTGAGGGTCCGTGGTGAAATTTGACAAGGTTCCTGAAACTATTTCAAAAGGACGCAAGAACGTAGCTCACTCCCAAAAAGGACTAACTTGAAGGAATCCTTTTATGGAAAAATTTGTATACACGATCCAGCTGGAACAGAAAACCCGTGGGTCTATGGGAAAAACCTCGAAGTTTCAGCAACATTTGACAAGAAAACAGATTAAATTCCTATGAAGCGGTACCAGAGCATGTGGAAGTCCTTCCACGGATTTAGGCTTTGTTTGGTGAGGACTAGGCAACGATCATTTCCTGAATTCGAGTACTGATTAACATTGTGAGTTATTCATCCATAATCAATCTCAAAATCAGTTCATTTGTTGAAAAGCATGAGGAGTGTTCGTTGTGATAGATCAGATTACTGTTTATCTTCTTCATAAAGGAAACTACTCACCAGGTTGCTGAAAACTCTTCGACAGCCCACGACCGGCTTCGCCCTTCTTGGGGCTCATCAGATAAGCGCGGTTTCCGAGTTTCCGTCAACCTTATGTTCTACTTGAACCTAAATTGGATTGATTTCGACAAACAAACTTATTTGTAAATGAAAAACGAGATATTCACTTGAGCCTCTCGGGAAAGCCAAACTGATTTGCAGATAAGTGTATTTGTCGCAACCATAGATCACTTATTCTGGTACAAGTGATCCGATATTGCTGTCCAGCTGAAATGATTGTGAGGCGGTCTGTATGCAGCACATTCAGTTGTAGAATATCACAAACGAGAGGCTCAGTTGAGTTTCTCGTGAAAATCAAATTGATTTGCATTTGAGTGTATTTCTCAATGACTGTTGATCTGTTCACCAAACTTGGCAACTGACTTTCAGACGTTTCCTCGCCACTCGAGGAGACATCGTCAGGGCGCTGTTGGATGGGAATTCTCTTCGAATGGTGATTCGATTTTCAAGCTTGGCTAACAGATCAATAACCACCATTTCAATTAAGTCTGAATACGTGTTCAACAATTGAACCGTTGTTGTCCATACAAATGACACTTGTTGACACGTACAGTCACGATCGGTCTACTATTTGCAAGCGACCGGTTTTCTCACTGATCAGACACAATTAAGGTCATATTAACGTAACACCAGGCGTAACCATAGATGGAATTCAGCTGAATCTTCGAGAGGAGGCTCGCGACTGCGTCATGCAGAAAAAAACCAACCATTTTCCCGCCATCTCGGTTTCGCAATCATGTCGACACGTACGCTGTGTTTTCCAACAAAGTAGCACATGAAACCAGTCTGTTGTCGAACGACCTTCACACATTTTGATTGCGAAATTATAAATGCTAGTTTGTCGGTTGTACTTTACAATTGAAAAACTGACAACGCCATCTTGCTTTGCCTTATTTAAAGTTAGGTCGACTGGTGGCAACACTGAAGCTAAGTCACGGTCAGCTTGTGATGCGCACATTTTTGGGGTGAAAAAATCTGTTCCTAGGTTTTCACTGCCCCGGAACTGACTAGTAGCGTGAGCAGATTGGAGAATTTTAATGAACATTTCAAACTGTGTGTGTGTGTGTGAAGCCAAAAAGCCAAGGAGCACTATGAATCTGTTACATCCCTACTGGAAATCATCAGCAGTGTACATATCAGGAGAATGTAGTGAAGAGTCTTGAAATCGCGACCCCCAAGCTGGTTGTTTGAAGAGCAGCGGCCGGCGACCAAGCAGGACAAAATATCCCTTGAAGTAATCAGTAACTCTTGTAAGTCTCCTACTGCGATTGGCTGAACCAGATAGTAGCGTGTTGGAATATTGGTACATACATACTGTGATGGAAAGGATTGATACTCTATTCATTATTCTCCTGTTTTAATATTTTGTTGATTCAACTGCGCGAGCCGTAGAGGATTATTTGGAACGGTTTGACATATGGTGTCTTACAAAATCCGATATGGATGATAAGAAATCCACGACATATTTCCTACATTTCGTTGGCAAGGAGGCGTATACGTTGATCAAGTATTTAGTATATCCTGAATCTCCAATCGATATTCCTTACACTGCATTGAAGAAAAAAGTCCTTCAACTCTTCAAGTCGATTAACTTTGTAGCAGCCGAAAGAGCTAGGTTCAATAATATTGACCCGCTCCCATTCGCAGTCGGTTCGTGATTTCGTATTGCAGCTGCAGACATAGGCAGCCAAATGGGACAACGATGCCCAATTGGAAGACCAACTGCGTGGTAGGCTCACTGATGGCATTCAACTGCCCGAATTACAGCAGAAGCTGATGATCTGTCCGGATAAGAAATTTCAGACTATTCGGTAAATGTGAGAATTAAGTTTCGCACGTATATCGGACTAACCAGACAAACTAGAAATCCAGAATTCAGCGCAGCGTAACCAGTAGCACGTATGTATTCGAATTGGCATATATATACCGCATATGGAATATTCAAACAAGGGAATAATGAATATATAAATGAATAGAGTATCAGTCATGTTCATCGCATCCGCCACACCTTGAATGAGCGTGTGCATGTTTATAGTCCAGTGGTGGTCTTGATCGCAATCTTTCGAATCTTCTTGGAATGGAAACTTCGGACACTTCACAGGTTGTGTGTTCTTTAGATACGTTTTGTTCGGATACCATAAGATCATCTTCAAAGGACTCATTAGTATTTGAAACAGCAGGAGTGCCGTTAACAGGCTGACATCTGGTACTGAACTCAACCTGGTCAATGTGTCTCCGGTGACAAGTTAGTTGTGAAGCATTCCAACGAGTTCATGCTGACTACTGTAGCAACCGAAATCATACACATTGCATAACATACTCAGTTTTACTCGCACAGAATAAGGCGAGGATATTCGAAAATTTATTTCAAATTCAAAGTTCAGTTACCCTTGAATGACCGACCAAGCTGATTCGTTGATACATATGTGACGCCTTTAGTCGGAGGTTTCTATTTCACCTTTGGTTTCCCAAAAGGGAAATGCAAAAACTGGCGTCGATAGGTCTGCTCTTGTCACCAACAAGACCTGACGGAGCCTGACAACGTTCACCTAATGTTGATGCTTAACCTTTGACGATCATTGCCATTTTCTGAATACCAATCACGCAAGGTGCTGGGAATATCCTACTTTACCGCACTCGTTTGGGCTCATAGGGTAATAGGAAACGGCTCAGCTGTCGATAATCTTTATACCAAACGCACCCGTTTTTCTGACCAACCATGCTACTTTACCTTGAGTACCTAATTCGTTGGTATGTCTATGCAGTAAGGTAGCAGATGAACTCATAGAGGCTACGTATGCGCACGTCCCTCCATCACTAAGTTGTCTAACACTTTTAGTTGTGGTGAAATTTCGACAGATACCCTTATGTGCACGTGTATTTGATTTCGACAGGAGATTCAGCTGAATCCAGCCCAATCTATCGTTTATAACGGGCAGGATGAGGCCGCCTCATGATTCCATTGGTATGATATCTCGGATATCGCAATATGTTGCTGTCTAGACTTAACACACTACTCATTAGGTGATTGAAAACTCTTCGACAGCTCAAGGCCGATTTTCTCATTCCATTTGTGCTCATCAGGTAGGCGCAGTCCCTGACAGATTCAGCCGAATTCGTATGCAAATCAGAATATTTGTTGTAATCTGTCCCAAAATCCTAGTCGCACAATCGTTTTGTCCTCATTGGGACTCATCAGCTGTAGTCAGAGGGGTGGAACGAGCTACCAATTTGGCAACCTGAAACTGTCAAGCAAATTATCACGTGACCAACACCTCTACTCCTCACTGATCTGCGACTGCAATACAGCCTCTTGGATAAGTTTCGAATTGACTGTTTTTAGCTCCTGGTTTCAGTCGCCACACTTGGGTGACAGTTTCTTTCTCCTGAGCGTGAATCGCAACTAACTCTTCGGGTGGTCCACTTTAAATCGTCCAGTTTTGGCTAGGATAAGACCATCACCGATTTCTACAGATAGATATCATCTCACGACCATCTGGGAAAATTTGCGCAGCATTTCAGCACCCCTGTTACGTCCACCCACTCCAAACTCCATCCATCAACAGGGGGCTTACTTGGGTTTTCTAAAGTTCAAAGGTTGATGACTAGGCAGCTTCATCCTCACCAGTGGCAGCTGCAGTCCAATAAGATGGATCTAATTTGCTCAACACGGAAACTATGAGGAGCAAACTAGATGATCATAATGGATTGTGAGAGTGGGTTGGTGAGAGAATACGCTGCCCTTCAAATGCATTAAAGCAGGTTCATTATTCTTGCCAAAAAATGGCGCTTCTCAACATGTTTACTGCAGCCATGTCTTTCATCAAAAGTTTGGCATCGCCGTACACATCCAGGATATCGACGTAATATTCTGATTATGACTTTACCTATAAAGATGATAGAAATTTCCGGACACCCAATGCTGTTTTCGTCCTTTCTGAGGTATCATCAGGCAGGCTTGGTCGCCCGGCTCCCATCAACCTGTGTAAGCAGACTGTACACCAAATTGTGCGTAAGTCGGCCGTTCCGCACCTACGGGCCAACAGAGAAAACCTGTGCAAGTGAACAGTCTGAGTGATTCGCAACGAACACGTGATCTGAACACATCGATTAGCCCATCGCTACTCTATGGTCCCTTGACCACTCCATGCGCTTTTGGACCACTTGTTTTAGCTATATAGAGTTATTATAATCCATATAAGTAGGCCCTAGTTTGACGATGAGATATGAAAAGGGTCATACATTCAGTTGAATATTCTTATAAACGAGCTATACAGTTGGTTCTCCGGTCACGCATTTCACATCAAACGAATCCTTGCTTCGAAGCCTTGAAATAGAACGCCAAATACATGGGGCTGCATTCCTGTGTCAGGTATAGCTAAGTCATGCGTTTTATCACACCTCCAGTTTTGCCTGACGCACCGTTCTGTGTTCACTTGCCAGAGCACTTTGCTTCGGTGGGTAACTGGAATCACATGATTCCATGACGACACACAATGATTAAAGAATTGAGTGCTTGCAAGCAACAAATTAGGATTATTAAAAACGTCCTCATGTTACCGCGCGGGGAATCTGTGAATACGTAAAACAGTTGAAACTCGACTGTATCTGCTTGCATGTTTATTTAAGACCTGATGTGTGCATCTCCCCCCCCTCTCTCCCCATTGCAGGTACCACGGACGAGCCACTACGAGCCCCGCACAGGACAAAGCAGCCTGCTTGTATACCCTCCTGGTTGACCTTGACCTAACTTTGTACCCCTGAATTCCGCTCTCGGTTTCGGTTGAGTACATGTGTGTTGTTGCCTTACTCCGGTCTTCTCTCCTGTGTCACCCGACCAGTTCGAATGTGTGCCGTGTGGACTCAGTAATACCAATCTCTGTATCTGCACATTTCGGAACCGACATGCGCCGTCGCTACACCCTCTCGAACGTCGAATACCACTGACTTCCTGATGTCCTACGCTACAAATACCAAAGCTCACAGTACAGTGGTGTACCAGTTGGAGAAACCATGGTTGTTTGTACAGCCCATAGCGTATGCCATTTCAGTTGGCTTCTAGATTAGTATTGGTAATTTACAACTTGCTTACCGGGCCTCAGCTCATGAGGATTCCGTCTGCTTTCGATCCACAAGAGTTCTCTACCTTCGGAGAAACACTGCCCTAAGAGAATTTCACGGCGTACATACTCCAACTGACCAGTTATAGACTACTGGACAGGGAAGCAAAACTCTCACATGCATCTTGTTTACAGAAACTGAATATCCATCTTCTCTTGAACGCGTCTTTCTGAACTTTCCTGGATATTCATTGACTGTTGCTCAAATCCAAGCACATGCTACAAAGCGACTCCACAAATTCTGCAACAGATCTCCCTTTTCAAGAGATACAAAGCGAAATCACAAGAAGAAAACATACTACTCGCATGCCCCCCTCATCAGTAGCATCACCGTTACACCAGTAATCATGCTTTGCTTGTAGATGGTCAATTGAAGATTTGAATACAAAGACACCATAGCATCATCAGGCTCTCAGAAACAAAGTTCCGCCTTACCGAACCGGATTTGACTGAACAGGATAATCAAATTAGGAGAAGAACCCATCAAAAATGGGGGAAATTGTTGTCTCCGGTGACTGCCGACATTTTCCCGGACAGCGAATCCCACGGTGAACTTTTCGCTGCTGTCCCCGGTCGAGGACATCTACTGAATCGTCCCAGCCCAACGGAAACATCGTTTCCAAAAAGCATCCTTTACAATGAGATGACCGGTTGAAAGCGATCATGAATGGATAACGAAGGACACGAGCAACTATTGGGTGACAGCGTTCTTCCAAAGATGAGCGGCGCTAGTTAATCGCACTACTGATCGACTGCGCTAGACCGAACGATAAAATTTAACTATCAGCCAGAGGGACTTGGGTTCGAGATGGTCTACAGAAGTTTCCTGAGGTGCGCACTGCCGGTAGTTCCCAACAAGAATGAAACAGCACTTCAAGGCATAGATTGGTGACGAAATGTCCGTCAAAAATCGCCAAATCTCCTCACACTACTTACTAACAACGACCGCCGTCAAGGTCGCTTAACTAGATTGCCTCTATCTACCAAACCCGATTTCGCCCTGTTTAACGACTTCCTTGAATCGAGACTATTTTGTTAACCCAAGGCAAGTGAATCGCCAAATGATCGTCTTTGCATTCAGAACACAGTCCGTGAAAAACCCTGACGGTGGAACGCTAAAATCAGCTGTAGTTTCCCAAATTTCATTTCAAATCTCAGTATTTTTCGTTGAGTTGGATTTTTCTAATTCGAACGAACTTCATTTCCAGTTGCTAATCCTTGACTCGAAGCCACATCGGCCCGATTAGATTATCCGAAACGTGAAAAAAGCACAAAAATAAATTGGTTTTCTTCGGCTAAGCTCAGAAATAGGACAGAAATGAATTAAATTAGAGCACTGTGTGGGACAGGCGGCCGGACTACCCTGGTCAAACTACGTCATCATGATATCTGGACTCGGTGGAATTCTTAAAAACAACCATGGGGCAAAAAACGATCTTGGAGTAAAGCAAGACTGCAGATAACAGTTATCATTAGTGAAAAATAGTGTGGGATAATTAGCGAAATACACTCATTTGCAAACAAATTTGGTTTTTCTGCCAGAGACTCACCTGGAACCCAGCTGAATCTCTGGCTTGTGACGTTCTCAGGCAACTGAATATGTTGCACTAGGCCGCCTCATGTTTCAGTCGCTAAGATATGCGAGAAATCGAGATACTTGTGTGTTCGTACTGCACTACTCATAAGGTTGCTGAAAATTCGTCGACAGCCCACGACCTGTTTCGCCCTTCTTGAGGCTCATCAGGTAGGCGCAGTGCCTGAGTTTCCGCCAACCTTATGTTCTTCTTGAAATCAAATTGCGCGAAATTAGCGAATATAAACTCTTTCGCAAACCAATTTGGTTTTTCGAGAGGCTCACCTGGAATCCCTCGTTTGTGATGTTTCCGGTCGTGGGCTGTCGACCAAGTTTCAGCGACCTTATGAGTAGTGCATTAGGAATACACATGTGGGATAAGTTCCCAAAATGTGAATGATGCTAAACACTACCAAGGATCTTTCTTGGTAAGCTGTGTCAGAGAGCTGGGCTCACTTAAATAGCCTAGACAGGAGCCTAGACACGGGCCTTCCCGTTAGTCAGTGCACGAGTTACCTGTTGAGCTATCCACCTGGAAGC